TACAAGCATGACAAGCATGTAGAGATGTAGATTTATCTTTTCTCTGTGCATTTTCTTATGTGCAATAGTTTTGAGAAAGATATATGAGAAAATGTCATCTATATATATATAACTTTTATACAAGCATGTAGAGATGTAGATTTATCTTTTCTCTGTGCATTTTCTTATGTGCAATAGTTTTGAGAAAGATATATGAGAAAGAATTGGAAATGTCATCTTCGTTTCCGAGATGACACGCCAAATTTCACACTTTGATTGCATCTCAGTGATCTTTCCACTTTTTACTCATGTCATTTCTTCACGTATTACACATTCGCATATAGATTTACTTAAGACATATATATATAGTGTTTGACATTTTTTTCTCTTATAAATTTCTTATAAATATCTATTTCATAAACAGATTTACATTTATAAGAATAAACATTTATAAATGTGTGTCTCTTCTTGAAAATTATGGTTTTTAATCGCTAAAATTCTATTTTGTAATTTTGCTGTTATATAGCAATTATATAACTATTAATATTAAAAAAAAAACAGAGGGAAAGGTGTTCTTTATTAAATGTAACTGTCTTTATAATATTTTTTTCTGTTTTTTTCTTTCTTTTTTTTGTAACTATGCAGAATCGAAAGTATGATATATAAAAGTATTATTATTTATGATGTAGTTTAATAATCATATATATTGACATAGGTATATATGTATATTCAGCATTTGCAATTTTATTCGTTCTTTTATCAATACTGAAATATCTATGTTTTCTTGTTGTCATTTTAACTATTTGTGTTGCACAACGGAAGTGGACCAGCATAATATTATACATATAGTGCTCTCAGTATCTCGTGGGTGAAGTTGATTTCTCTTAACATGGTATTGGGCATCGTTGACTAGCGAACCGTAAAAAGCATGAAATTAGTTGCTGTTATTTATTGAGCAAAATATTAACAGTAAATCGGCAGTGATAAATTTGATTAGAATATTGCAAACAGATTGGTATCAATTGCATCTGCGATAATTATGCAGTAAAGTAAGTGCGTATAATATGACAGCAAAATGGCGACAGAAATCGAGAATCCACTGTTTCATAATCATTTAAATTCGAGAGAACTTTGAATCTTTTATCTATTATTTGTAATAAATTCCTAATTTTGTTCCTCTTTATACATACAATTATTATATATAAATCTTAATTTTTTTGAAAAGTTTAGAGTTATTAAATGAAAAAAAAACAATTATTATTTTCTTTCTTTATTTGCAGATGGTTCATTATGTGTCTGCATCAGCGTTAACATCTCAGGCTCATCAAACATCGCTGAATTCTAGGAATAGTCCAGATCTCTTCGGACAACTTCTCCGAAGAGCTGGCGGGATGGGTGACATCCGGGATTGTCCGGTAAGCAAGGCTAAACGAATACATTTTACGAAATGCTTGATCGAATTGTGACTAACACGTTTCTATCCTGCGTATTACATTTTATCATCAATTTTATGATAGTCCACTCATAACGTTGGATTTTAAATAAGATTACGGCCACTGACTCATTCGAACACGATCTTTATGAATATACTCTTTCTACGAATTCGTATTCGATGACTCTAAAACTTTCTCTCTAGAATAAAGGCAAGCCGAACAAAATGTGCACGTAATTTTAGAATTATTATTAAGATATATTTTCCTTTATTTTTTTTCTTCAGAGTTCTTGCGGTGCAAAAATTCAAATATGTCGGACTCTAATGAATCGGCCGGAAATAGTCTCTGTCGGTGTCGTCTGGGATAGTGAACGACCGTCGTTGGAGCATATCATGGATGTCTTCGCGACTGTGGGCACGTCCCTTCGGCTTAGTGATGTCTTCCACAGTGTGGTAGACTCTCGATGGGGTGCCTCTACCGTGCATAATCTCGTAGGAGTGGTTACCTATTACGGGAAACATTATTCTACCTTCTTCTTCCACACAAAATTAAAGGTAAGTGTTATTTAATTTTACGTTTGCATTATAATCAATGATTTTAATTACAGCAATTTATAATATGAGTTGATAAATTTTCAGGTATGGATCTATTTCGATGATGCTACTGTCAAAGAAATCGGACCTCGGTGGGAGCAAGTCGTGGAAAAATGTAGGAGAGGTCGCTATCAACCTTTACTACTCCTGTATGCGACGCCCGCCGGTACTCCGGTTAATACTGAGAACGCTCCAAAGACTGTTATTCCTTTCCCAAATAGTAATGGTTTAAAAACATCTCCAAAGAATAGCGTTCGTCGTTCGATTACACCTAGTCCTGAAAAGCCATCCATCAACAGCACTGCCAGACGTGCCATCACTCCCAATCCCGACAGTCCGCCTCATCTCTACACTCAACGAAGCATTTATAGTGATTATCAGAATCTCACAGATATCCAGAATAATATATTTAACAACCAGGTACGTTGTAATAATATAAATATTTACTCTAATAATTGTTTATAAATTCATTTTTTTTGAAAAATAGATTTATGATTTTTGCATTCAATTTACTGACTTCAAATTAATATTGCCCAGGGCGTGGATGCGGTTGACGGCGAAATAGAGTCGAAATATATTAGTCGTCGCGCCGTGGAAAACGTAATGCAACAACAGAAGAAACAACAGATGCAATTGACACGTAGTTTAAGCGTGGGATCAGCTCCGCAAGATGGTATCAGCATCCCTGACCATATGAACGTACCTCGAAGACGAGATTCCGGCAATTGGTCCGGTGATCGAAACAGCGCGTCATCGAGTTCGTCGACCACGATGGACAATACGTATTTGTATATTGTTAATAAAATGCAAAGAAATTCAAACGTACCTAAAAGTCCTATCAAATCTGGAGAACTCTCAAGTAGCAGCAGCGGTCATTACGATGCCGGTTACGATTCGTATTCTTTATCCTCTACGGACAGTCTTCCACTTCAGCAGGGACTAAAGCATAATTTACAGGTAAATTTGTGTTTTAACAAAATTGAAAACAATAATGATTTTGAGAGAAACAGAGAATATGTGTGTACAAGATTTTAAATATTAAAAATTTTAATTTTTGAGATATCTATGCGCATTTGTTAACTTAAATATTCCTTGTAGCTTGCTCAAATACCAGAAGGTTATCAACCTTCTTCCGGCGATGATTGCGAACGATTGTGTAAGGAAACAGACGCATTGCTGGATAAATCCCGTGCCGCCGAAGATGCTGGCGATCTTAACACGGCCGTGGCATTGTGCAATGCGGCTAGCAGTAAAGCCAGAGCCGCGATGGACGCACCGTATAATAATCCTCACACGATTACGATAGCAAGAATGAAACATAATACTTGCGTCATGAGAACAAGAAGTTTGCACAGGAGAATGCTACAAGAACAAGTGACCGTTAATGGTGACAAAGAAGGTAAGAAATCAAGATATCAATTGATTGTTCTGTCGAGACATGCAGACTAGAAATATTTAACATTGTATTTTTTTCAGAAGGAGTGTCTGAAGGAAGACATTCTCGAGAAAACAGTAAATCAAGCCAGCATTCGAGGCAAAGCTCGCGAGACAAAGGTAATCATTCTCGACAAAATAGTCGGGAGCTTCTAGTGAACACTCCAGCGACGGTGGATAAACCTACCACAAAGAGTATCGAGATATATGCTACTTTACCGAAAAAGAAGACTCTACGTAGTAAAGCGACGGCAGTGAATGTTATCGAAGATGAGGAATACATGCTTTACGATCGTCCAACACAAAGGACTGGTTTGTTTAGTCGTACGAAACGCTGTGACGATGATAAGAAGGACAAGAAACGAGCGAGAAGCGAGGAGAGAAATAAGAACATATCAAAAGATTTTTCACTAGCACCGTCTCGATTATCACCGTCACCAAAAGGAGTGAAAATTGAGAAACCGAAGGAAATCACCGAAACTAATACAACTACGATTAGGAGTACGCAGCTCAACAACACAGCTGCAGTAGAACAGAAACAAGGCAAGAAGCAGCATAAGATACGCAGAAAATTGCTCATGGGCGGTTTGATCAAGAGGAAAAACAGGAGTATGCCGGATTTACGAGAAGGACAGGATGGTCAGACGAACGTGAACCCGGAAGGATCTTCTAATATTTTACCGAAACAATCATTGGATGATTCCAGCGTTGGTTTGAAAGGCAACGATGTAAACCAATCATTGAGCGGTTACTTATCAGAGGGGCATCTGGAATTCGCCGGAAACGGCGGATCTGGAAACACCAGCAATCCGAATCTTGAGAGAAGTCGTTTGATGAGAAAGAGCTTCCATGGCAACGCCGGCAAAGTATTACACGTTGCAAAAGTGCCTCCACCTCCTCCGCTTAGAACCACTTCTCAGCTTAGCAAATCTAAATGTTCGGGCGAAATGCACAACGAGCAACAATCTGACAAAGTTGTATATCCTTTGCCGGATAGTCGGTGTGCGCCTAATTCGTCACAGGATCAGAACAGTGCTTATTGGAATCACATAAATGCGAGCAACTCATCGAATGTGGCGAACAGAAACTCAGACTATGCTGATTACTCCTCGGAATCTCATTCTCTTCCGTTTATACCGTCTTATAATGAACAGAGCAATAATATTTCCGGGACGTGCCAAATAAACTATAATAATAAGCCTAGAATCCAGGATGACGTTGTGCAATATGCTAACGGCATACTTTATGAACCGACTTTTGTCGTTACTCGTGCGGACGTGCACAATGAGCAGAGTCCTGTTAAGCAACAGTTTCAGCCGGATTCTTTGCCTCCCTATCTTGAAAACAGTAATATCTCGCATTCGCGGCAACCGAGCGAAGACTTCCCACCACCGCCATATCCATCAATTCATTCAGTGTCGCATTCGAGACAAACTAGTGAGGATTTCCCGCCGCCACCTCCACCGATTGATGAGCCGATTCATCTTCAAGAGACTCAACAGCATCAAATTTCCGTGCAATTCCAACAACGTGTGCAACAATATGAAGCACAGCAAATTACTAGCTTGTTAGCGCAGTTGCAAAGCAAGAGAGAGCAAATCTTGACTGACGGTCCAGGTGAAGAGAAACGACCAGAGGAGCACGAAGACGAAGAAAAGTCATCGAGCGAAACGTGGTTGAGAGAATTGCAAGCTAAACAGGCAGAGAGAAAAATGAAGAGACAAGGATCTTTAAATCAAGACATTCCAAAAGTGAGGACTCCATCGATGCCAACGATTCAAGGACCGACTATCGCTAGGAGAACCAGCGATTTGATGATGAACAATCTCGGACAGGGATATGATCAAGGTCGTGATGTTACGGATTGCCCGAGAGTCATTTCTTCGGTGAAAGACATGGCTGCTAGGTTTGAACAGATTAAGCTGCAACCGATAGCGAAATCAGAAGCAGATATGAAACCTCAATCGAAGCAGAATGTAAATTGTGTTTCCCCAATGCTAATATCGAATATGCCTCAAGATACATCATCAATGGAGGGAACAAAATCAGTTAACAAATCATCCTCCGAAAATTCCGTAGTTTTTACGAAGACGGAGACTTCAAACTCTCAGGCTGTTTCGAAATCCAATTTTGATTCGCAATTGAGCCAGAATACTTTTGATGCGATGCCATCGAACAATTCTAATGTTCAACAGAGCGAATTAAATGCCGCGATATTATCCATGTCCTTGACACTGCCGCACGAGAATGGTTTGCCCATTGATTGCCCGGATGACGATATCAGCGAAGTGGCGATGCAGAACACCATACAGAACACAACGATACTGCCAAGCGAGGAGGACATTGCCCCGAGAAAGGTGAAACGGCGGATAGGGAAGAAGAAAAGCGTATCATTCTGTGACCAAGTGGTCCTTGTTGCAACAGCGGAGGACGATGAAAAGGATTCGTATATACCTAATCCTATTTTGGAGAGAGTTTTACGTTCTGCGATGAATAAACCTGAAACTGCTCAGGTTCTGCGAGAAATCAGAAGTCTTCAGGAAGCGGAGACGAATCGTGAAAATACAGTTGCAAAATTCCAACAACATACTCTTCCTTTAAAGAGCGAAGCTGATAGCATGCCGGCGACACCTTTCCAAGATCAATTGAGAAGCGTTAATCCAATTCCAGATACCATTAAACCAACGTTTGGGCGACAGAATTCAAGCGATTCCATCGGATTGCTAACAGATAAGAAGTCTTGTGGGAATGAAGGCAAAGACGTCGTCGATTGTAGAGAGACATATGCTGGTATCCCTGCGAACACCTCGAAAACTTCCACATCTTATTCACCGCAACAACATATCAGATACACACAGAATGCATACACGCAATATCTACAGTCGATGTATCCGCAGACGCAAGCATCCCATCTGAGGACTCAAGCGATTCCTTTATCTCAAACCCAGAAGCCAGCCAGTCCTTATCCCACGCAAATGCATGGACAGTACATACAAAATAGTATGCAGCAGACGAAACTATTATCTCAGAAAAACGGTTACGGAACGTATTATCAGTTGGAGCATCAGCATAATCAGATAAACAAGCAGGCAAGCGTTCAATCGCAACAGAATACGATGAATCAAAGGATCTCGTCTCATAACGCCAGTCCGATAACCGTTCAACATTCACAGCAGCAATTTTCGTATCCGCCTAATCAATCACCGAGTCCGTATCAAAGTCAATACTCTCAAAGTTCCTATCAGGGTCATCCCTATCAAGCTGTTCTCCCTCAGAATAGAGCGGGTCAACCATTACCACAATATCAAACGTCGTCTAATCCACCCGCGTTTTATCAGCATCAATTGCAACAAAACACGCAGAATTATCAGCAGAGACACGACAATTATCAGCGACAATTAGCACCTCAGAAAATAGATCAACAACAAAATTCCGTGATGCCTAATCAGACATACCCTAAGACTCTGCAGAACGGTCAGATACAGCCGAATGTGAAGTATCCGGCCTATCAACATCCTCCGATTTCAAAACAGATGCATTTCGCAATGTCTACCGCGAAAGTCGTCCCGATGGTGTCGCAGCCGATGGTAACGCAATCTTCTTTACAAGCGTCGACGACCACCGTAAGAGCATGCGTGACACCCTGTAATCTTTGTCGGAAGAGAAATGTGCTTGAGCCAACGCTTTATTGCACAGACTGTGACTTTTACATGTCTCGCTTCCGACCGGCTAATAAAACCACTTGAATCGTTTCTCATTAATTTAAATTAAAAACTGAATGTCCACGTTCTTTGACGGAGGAATATTAGCGTCATCCTCTTTGTAGTGAATTAATTAATTACTGCGTTGACAAAAATAATTATTAATGCTTACAAAAATCCTAAATGTTTACATTTTTATAGCAGCATTGTATCACAATTTAAATGATCCGCGTGCAATCGCAAGAATAGAATTCACTGAAAATTAGAAATGTATATGTCTCGAACGTGTTTAAAATCTCTTGCATACAACTCATTAAATTTATAGGTAATTTACATGTAAAATTAAATACAATACACATAGTACTATAATAATTCTTATTAATTTTACAAATGATGACTTTCTCTCTCTCGATGAAGTAAATATAGATATATTATCCACATTGTATAAATATTAAAATTAATTCTTTCGATCGGAGACCCTCATCGTGCAGCTATTATTTATACGCATATGTAATATTATCCCGATAAACTCATTTTTATAATTTACATTAGAGATATAGAAACAGATTGTACTTAATCTATATCATTTTCAACGTATTTTAATGCTTATTGAAGATTATTATTGTAATCCGTCGGCTCTAACATAGTTTTTAAATACGTCCATTATATGTTTATATTATACAATAACAAACACATATCATTGAGGCGTTACATTGTTATATTATAGCGTTTATGTCTGCACTATTTTCATTTGTATATAGGTGAATTTTGTATCATGCTTCATAAGACCAGCGAAACCAATACCTTTATTTTATAAGTTATATAATAATTCATTTTATAATTTATAGTTGAGCGAACCGTACTTTCAGTTTTTGTATACTCTTTGTATTTGTATGTTCTTTGTGCAAATTGTATTTTATGATAAAAAGATGTGGATAGTTGTGGAATTGTGATACTAGCCATGCTACGTAAAACTTATCTCGTTAAGATAGAAACTATATTACAGATTGCAAAAGAAGAGCTAATTAGGTAGCAGATGAAACTTGATCTCTGAGAATGCGTGGAGTTTATTTTACGTTAATAATCGTCAAAGTGCGTCTTCTTGTGTATTAACATATATCACGTTATACTGTATCACTTTCCAAGTGTTAGTTAAATGTACAAATGTCTGATTTTATACCTTTTGTATGTGAGTATTTTGTTTTAAAAATACTTTACTTTTATTGTAAAACACATTAATAAAGCTCCCTTACAATATTACTTTGTCTAAATTTCTCTTAACTACTAGTATAAAATAAAGAAATAAAACTTTATACGTTTTCCAATTTTATAATTACATATCTTGTTATTATTTTCTATTACTTTTATATCGCTTTTAAAAAAAAATAGTATAATCAGAAATGTAATAAATATTATTATTAACTATTATCATTATATATTATAATTAATGATTAATAAAT